CGTAGCCATTGGAGATGGCTATTTGCCGAGCCAAGTCGCGCGATTCTTCCTTTAGTTCCCTGGTAGTGCACACAGAGGTTGTTGTTCGAAACATGTTTCTCACAATCGCCCTCTTTGTGTGTGAAGGGTGGGAAGAAAAGAAATGAACAAGGATATTCTTGTTACTTGGCTTTTGGTACCACTTTGTCAAGTAACCGCTACTTGATAGGTTTATTTGAACGTCCAAAAACGGAAGCCAGTTTTTTCTCGGTTTCTCCCGGGTGAGCTTTATGTACTCAGACTGCTCGTTCAATAATTCAAAGCATTTGTCCATCTCCTCCTGCGTAGAGAAGACGACAAAACAATCATCTACATATCTGCAGTAGAGTAGTGGCCGGAGATCGAGAACAGGGGCTTCTATCTTAGACATAAACATAATGGCAAGATGAAACAAATATAACTTCAATGATGCTGAGATATTTGCAAAACTCCGAACCGCAATTCGTTTTCTTAACGTTAAAAAAGACGAAGGACCCGCATGGTGTGGTGGTGAACACGTTACTCCCGGAAAGGACAATAGCGCGTTCGTTCCCCACCACAAGCACCTGCGGTTCGGAGTTTTGCAAATATCTCAGCATTGTAATAGTTATATTTCGCAAAATACCCTGCCGTTAAAAAAGAATAGGGAGTAAATAAAATGGTTAAGAATGTGATTATAACTATCGCCTCGGTTTAACTGGGTTCAATGCCGATTTGGGCTTCCCACATCAATCCCGTTGACGGGTGATTGCTGATGGCAAAAGATCGATAGAACTAGCTGAGAGACAGGCGAAACGAAGGTCCCGCATGGTATGGTGGTGAACACGTTAGCCTCCGGAAAAGGTAATACCGTGTTCGATCCCCACCGCAAGCACCTGTGGTCCGGAGTTTTGCAAATATCTCAGCATTATAATACTTATGTTCCAGGTGTTGTGCAGTTTCGCTGATGACCCTCCAGAGGTGATTGAATCCTTGGTGCGGGACAAGTTTCCCCATTATAGCCTTGCTGGAAGAACAGTCACTGGAAATTTGAATATACTCGAGTGGAAAACACTATTCACTGTGCTGCACATGACATTACCGATCACTCCAGTTTACATATGCATACTGGTGTTGAGACGGAAAATAATGGGGTATCTTAAAGTCGCCATTATGTCCAATATGACCAGAAACATGCATCAGCAATTACTTTCGGTGAGTGCCCTACTCTTTAATTCTACTAGAGTTTTCCTTGCATTCCTAGGTAACAGCACTTCGTAGCGTGATTGCTTAATCAAGCAGAATAGGCTACGATAGAACTTGACATTTAAATTAATTAGCGACAAGAGCTCCACATTTCACCATTTACTGACAGGGAGAGAAGCTGACAGCCTTTAAGAGAATTTTAAGGAAGTTGAGAAGAAGGAAAAAAGGAGAAAAGAAATGAGAAAAAGGATTAGGAAAAAGGAAAAGGATAGGAAAGAAAAAGTAGAAATGGCGTATGTTTTAGCAATAGGCTTCTTTGACGTTTACCTCTATGAAATCGGTTCCTGTATCGCTTTGAGTTCTGCCATCTCATAATAAACTTATCGAAGGTTAGATGGCTGAGATCTCCATCTCCTGCTCGTGGAATTTACTGTGTAAGAATTGCTTTAAGAACCGAATAATTTTGAGACCACTGTTGTAGAACTTTGTGAGATCCATGTAGGGATTGATCAGTTCTTCAAGCTTCATAATTCCAGATGACAAACTACCTCAGAATCCTTTTAGTATTTAGTAAGCACTGCAGTCAAATTTCGCCTTTAGGCGCTGACATGGCAAGCTTGTCTGCCACTGTTCTACGCTTGCTCTGTCCTGTCGTACGCTTGCAGTCAGCTGGGCATCTACCATCATCTACTGCTTGAGCATATGGTATTCATATCTTTTAGTTTTATTCCGGTTCTGAGTCCTATTTTCTCGCTATATTTCGTAAAACAATACCGCAGATGTTTGCTACGACTTTTATTTCGAAGAAAATGTGCACTTAACAACCAAACTTCCTCCCCGGAGTCCTCTAAATTTGTTTCCTACAAATGCTCGAAGTCCTAAAAAGATTTTCACCTCACCTAAAGTTTGCGGACATTGAATTTGTTACTTGGAATTGACCCATGGACGCTCGAGTGTATAAGGTGATGAGGACCTGCTACGCCAGGTTGATTTTCTATAGGCGTAGTATTATGTATGCTTGGATGGGTATAACTGGGTGTATCCGAGTTTCATCCCGCTCGTCTTTTAGACCAAATGTTTGCAGTCAAATGAATGGGAAGCACATGTGAGATTGGGACGAACTCCAGCAAATAAATGCTTTTAGTCTGAGAGAGCCGAATTCGTGATAATATCCATCATCCACGACGGAGTCCAGTAAGCCATCCGTAAATACCTTATGGTGAAAACCATAAAAACACAAAAGTCTCTTACGAAAACATTATTTTCTTGGTGTCTTTCACAAAAATCCAAAAGGATTCCATTGGAGAGCATAAAATTAAATGGGAGCTTCACAGATTTCTGTCCATGTTAGATGCTGATTAGAGGGGTAACAGACCACACATATGATTTGAGGCAGGTAAGTTGCCCTTCCTATAAGAGAATTGACTGCTTCAGACAGTTCCTTGGACGTAAATTACTCAAAAACGTAGAACAGTTGCGTTACGCTTCATTTTGATAACAGCCCAAAGACTGCTCACAGTATTCGTCTACTGACCTTCCTATTCTAAGCGATCAGAATCCACCATCGTTCCTCACGTCAAATGGGACTCCAAAAAGGAAGCGGTTAGTCAGGCCAGCGCCCGATTCGACTTTGATCAAGTAGAACCTCACTGAACTTTGTGTTGTCATGTCATATTGAGAACTCAGTTTAAAAAGTCGTTAAGCATTTTGGATACTTGAAACGGTGTGATATATTATAGATAAATTTTGATCTTGTTAATAAGGGAAACTTGTGCTCAATACATGGGAAATCTCTATTCTGATCTTGTAATGTTACATTCAACGATTTCGTAAATTATTTCTTTATGTTGAATAAATTGCTTTTGTACAGTAGTGTGTCCACACTATTCAATTGCTGGAACAAAAAGCCCTACACTGCTCCTAACAAAATGTCTTTTTAAGTCAACAAAAATGCTTGTTAAGAAACATAAAAACACCACTAGGAGATAAACCACTTGCTAGAAATAACTCTTTTTTTGCAGTTATTAAGTCTCCTACCAAGAGAAGTACTGTGTTCACCCGCAGAGGACCGCTTACTCTACCAACGAACTCTGACTGGTCTAAGGCCACGATGTCACAGAGCTCGACAAGCAAATCTGTAGTGATCTGATTCGTGTGGGCCATAGTAATGAGCAATCTATATAACATTGCGTCGTATTGGGGCTTACGATTGAAACCCGTGGCTTATCTCCCTCTACGAGATCGACCAGTGGACAATTATTAGTATCCAGCATTAGGTTGAATTTCAGAAAGATTCACGACGATGTGAGAAGTTGAAAATACTAATAAGAAAATCCATTCCCTTACCCCTTATAGAGAAGTAAATCCGTGTTTTATTTCCCATCAATTACCCTACTACCTAGATAATGAGCTTGTCACTGTTCAGACACAATCAGTGACAAAGAGACTTGTGTCAAAGTTCTGTCACTCTTCATTATTCGTGACATATGGCGTCAGTATGAGTCATGTATAACTCAAGGACACTAGAAATTCGTTGTGGCTTTCAATTTTAAACAACTATACCTTAACATGTACTCTTTCATTGACAGACTAACACAAGGTTGATAAAAGCAAGCTTTACTCGGTAGACGCTCTGGTGCCTTTGCCTTCCTTAGATCTAGATTGATCTGGGTCGGTTGTCCACACTTCTTCCTTCATCTATCAGCAACAACCATCTTGTACAAAAGAGCACTGCCGAGTGATGCCCTTCATCCAAGCAATGCTCCACAGCATTCGACTCAATACGAGCACAAAACCTATATATATAATGCTGAGATATTTGCAAAACTTCGGACCGCAGATGCTTGCGGTGGGGAACGAACGCGCTATTGTCCTTTCCGGGGAGTAGCGCGTTCACCACCACACCACGCGAGTCCTTCGTTTCACCTGTCTCTCAGTTAGTTCTATCGGTCTTTTGCCATCAGCGATCACCCGTCAACGGGATTGATCTGGGAAACCCAAATCGACATTGAACCCAATTAAGCTGGGGCTGAACCCAGTTAAGAAGACAGGCGAGACGAAAGACCTGGATAGTGTGGTGGTGAACGCGTTATTCCCTGGAAAGGGTAATAGCGCGTTCGTTCCCCACCGCATACACCTGCGGTCCGGAGTTTTGCAAATATCTCAGCATTACATAAGTTATATCTCGAAATATATCCTTCCATTAAAAAATAATATGCAGTAAATAGGAAGGTTGAGACAAAGATCTACATCAGAAGAAGGAAGAACTGTTGAAAATCGACTGGTATCAATCCGACTGTGTGGAAGGCGAAGGGACCTAGCCGTATGTGAATATTTGTAGCGTTATAGTGATATAGCAAAACCTCTTACACAAGTGCTTCGAGTTATGAACTCCTCAACTACATTGGTCATCAAAAAATGTGCAGTAACTGAGGAAAATGTGACATCGGAAACAAGGTGTTAATGTTTTTTTGTTAGGGAGAAATTCATGCGACGAAACACGTATGGAGATGATTCAGTTGTCTCACAGCGCATGGAGATACTGTTGCTGTTTATCCGCGCTTAGCTCATGTCGAAAGCAAAGTTGACATCAACTAGTTACCATGATTTTCATCATGATGAATGGGCTGATTCTAAGGACGAAAGTGTGCTGAGTTTTTGCCATAATACTATCCATCGATCAAGAAGAAACACGTGACAAGGTGTCAAAACAATTGATAATAAACCCTTTCCTGACGTGAAGGCGTATCGAGAATAAACGAGCAAAAGAAAATGATTTATGTAGCTGCTGCCGAAGATTTCAACTGAGTAGACTCCGCGATATTGAGATATTGGTCATCTGGTTATATTTCACAGAATACCCTGCCAAGAAAATTCTATAGGCAGTAAATAAAAGTTGTACATTATTATTTCGACTAGGGCACGAGTTTAAGTGGGTTTAATGCCCATTTGTGCATATAAGATCATTTCTGTAGACGGGTGTTTGCTGATGGTATCGTTGAGGTAAAAAGTTTAGCTAGGAGAAAGGCAAAATGATGGCCTCTATGGTGCAGTGGTTAAGACGTAAGCTCCCGGAAAGAGCAATCGCAGTTCGATCTGCCGTGGCGGCAAAGTTTTGCAAGCATCTCATGCATACACAAATATATATATGCATATATACACATATAAATGTATGCATATATGCATATATATATATATTTCGATGCTTGGATGGCGCGTCCAAACTGGCTGTGCGGGCCACAGCACAACTTCCACTTTTCAGAGTTTCGCTGGTTTAGCCACTTTT